TTTTTCAAAGATGGCTCCGAAATCACCCCAAATTTTTATTACATTTTAAAATACATATTGATGTACTTATGCTATGTATAAAGTTTGAGCTCATTCTGACTTTAAATTTTTGAGTTACGACCATTTTAAAGTCATCAATTTGGTTCCTCTTTGTCCTTGTAGGAGGAAGAATGGGATAAGGATATTCCTGATGTGTCATTGATGCGTGTTATGAAAGCTAATGCTCCTGAATGGTGGCTCATTGGTCTTGGATTAATTGGTTCTCTATTCCTCGGAGCTATGAATCCTCTTTTTGCCGTCTTCTTTGGTGAAATTATTGAAGTATTTGCTAGACCAGCTTCTGAGGTACTGGATGGACTCCATTTGTGGGCGGGGCTTTTCCTTGCTCTTGGTTTTGCTGCAGCAGCTGGAACTTTTCTAAAAGTGAGAAAGATAATAATTTAATCAATCACTATTCTCTTCCTTTTTCTTTTCTCTCCAGTCATTTTGTTTTACGGTTGCCGGTGAGAACCTTACTGCTAGATTGAGGGAGTGGTCATTCAGAGCTATCCTTCGTCAGGAAATCGGCTGGTTTGATAATGAAAGGAACTCGTCCGGTATCCTAGCAACCAGACTGGCACAAGATGCCTCTAGAGTACAAGGGGTAAGCCAATAACTAATAATTATAATAAATATTAATAAACACGTACTGTAGGCTACTGGATCAAGATTGGGTACTCTTATTGAAACTTTCGTTGGTATGGTTGCTTCAATAATAATAGCATTTGTGTACTCCTGGATGCTGACACTGGTGTTGATTGGTTTTGTCCCAGTGTTTATTATTTCTGGGATCCTTGAGGTCAAGGCTCTTACTGGTCATGCTGGTGATAATAAGAAAGCACTTGAGCAAGCAGGAAAGGTCAGTCATGAAGTTCACAGCTCATTGAGTATTTAACATACTGCATGAGGTGATTTAAGCCTTAATAAGCCCAAAATGCAGGCAACGTGTTGTCAGCCTTTAATTGATCTAACCGGAATAGAAAAGTTTTCTTTGCAAGGCAACATGTTGTTTGGCCACATGATCAATGGCTGGTCAAATGCTAGAAACATCATTGTTGAATGAATGTAGTGTACATGTACCTGAACCTGATGTACATTGATTGGGCTTTAATTATGTATGACAGATTTGGTCCTACTGTACATTGTTATTAATATTACCATTACTGTAGATTGCAGTTGATACTATTGAGAACATGAGGACTGTAGCTTCACTTGGAGTCGAGATCAAGTTCTATACTGCATACAACATTGAAATCAAAGGTCCATACAAGTAAGACCACACTTTTTAAAGTTTGTATATTGCTGCTAAAAATAAACCCTTTACCTATTTTTATTAATTTCATTATTATTATTTCATGCTCACATGTATATTTAAAAGAAATATCGAATCATGCTTTATTTGCTATTGCTTTTATTCTGTAGGAAGAATCTTGTGAACTCTTTTGTCTATGGTCTTACTTATGGGTTCTCTCAAAGCGTCATATATTTGGGTTTCATACTCACCTTTGGTTTCGGTGCCTATCAAGTGACACGCCCACCAGGCCACATTGCACACGAGTCCTTCTCTGACCTACTGACAGTTCTAATGGCTGTCATCTTTGGTGCTGTAGGTGCAGGGCAGGCCTCTTCCTTTGCTCCTAATTACACTAAAGCTAAGCAATCAGCTAACAGGATATTTGCACTGTTAGACAGAGAACCAGTGGTTGATGGATACTCCGAAGATGGACTCAAACCAGTTAGTA